AATTGCACTTGAAAATGCTATTCTAGATATATAAAAAAAAAGACTGGCAATAACAAAGACAGGTATCTTAAGCCACTACATCATCTGTCCAAAAGATGCGATCATCTCTTTAAAATTCAAGAATACTGAACTAGAAGGAACCTAAATGTTAATTCTTTTTTGTGCACACTGTAGTAGACTAGAATAATTTCTCTTGTGACCAAGTGTGCTGCAATAATGAAGATTTTTTTTTTTCAAGCTGTAATCTCCCTGCTTACGTGCCTCCTGTCAAAGCAGGGTCATCATCATCATCATCACCATCAGCCTGACTATGTCTACTGCAGGACAAAGGCCTCTCTCATGTTCCACCAGTCAACCCGGTCCTGTGTTTGCTGCTGCCAATTCATACCCGCAAACTTCTTAATCTCATCTGCCAGCCTAACCTTCTGTCTCCCCCTAACCCGCTTACCTTTTCTGGAAATCCAGTTAGCTACCCTTAATGACCAGCGGTTATCCTGTCTATGCGCTACATGCCCGGCCCATGTCCATTTCCTCTTCTTGATTTCAACTACAATAGCCCTAACCCCCGTTTGTTCCCTAAACCACTCTGCTCTTTTCTTGTCTCTTAAGGTTACACCTACCATTTTTTTTTTCTATTGCTCGCTACGTCGTCCTCAATTTAAGCTGAACCCTCTTTAAGCTGAACCCCCAGGTTTCTGCTCCATAGCTAAGTACTGGCAAGATGCAGCTGTTATATACCTTCCTCTTGAGGGATAGTGCAATCTACCTGTCATGATGTGAGAGTGCTTGCTAAATGTGCTCCACCCCGTTCTTATTCATCTGTTTACTTCAATCTCGTGGTTAGGCTCCGCGGTTATTATCTGCCCTAACTATACATAGTCTTTTACAACTTGAGGTGCACAATTACTTTGTTTTTTTTTCTTTGTTTTTCGACTTTTTTTTTCTTTTTTCCTCGTTACTTTAGCAAGTGTATAATTAGGTACATTTGACCTTGTAGTGCACCTGCGCCCGTAGTGAATGCACTATGATATCAATTTGAAACTGTTTAGCGACTATTATTATGCATTTTTCCCACACATTTATCAGGTGCTGTACCCTCTCGTTTCGCCACCGATGGGCGGCTGGGGCTTTCTCAAGCTGTCATTGGACAGCTTTTTTCCCGTCCACCTTTTTTCCCCGCAAATGTTTTTGTTTTTGGTGAAAATAAAGTTCTTTGATTGATTGATTCATTGATATTACCTATCTCGAAGCACTGCTCCCTTCCGAGGTTGTGGTACATTACTTTCGTTTTATGCAGATTATTTTAAGACCCATTTTTCTGCTCTCCTTGACTAACTCCGTAATCATGAGTTGCAATTCGTCTCCTGAGTTACTCAGCAATGCAACGTCTTCGGCGAAGCACAGAATACTAAGGTACTCTGCATTAACTCTTATCCCTAACTGTTCCCATTCTAGGCTTTTGCAAACCTACTGTAAGCACGTGGTAAATAGCATTGAGGAGATTGTGCCCCCCTGCCTTACACCCTTCTTGGTTAGTATTCTGTTGCTTTCTTTATGAAGCACTACGGTAGCAGTTTATCCCCTATAGATTTCTTCCATGATGTTTATATATAGTACTTCATCGACGCCCTGATTATGAAGTGTCTGCATGACGGCTGATACTTCTACTGAATCAAACGCCGTCTCGTAATCTATGAAGGCTATGTATAATGGTTGGTTATATTCTGAGCATTTCTCTATTACCTGATGGATAGTATGAATGTGGTCGATTGTTGAATAGCCTGTTCCAAATCCTGCTTGTTCCTTTGGTTGATTGAATTCTACTGTTTTCTTTACTGTGTTAGCAATTGCCTTTGTAAACAGCTTGTATACTACAGAGAGCAAGCAGATTGGCCTGTAATTCTTCAAGTCCTTGTCATCTCCTTTCTTATGTATTAGGATGATGTTAGGGTTCTTCCAAGACTCTGGTATTCTTTCAGTCAGGAGACACCTTGTAAACAGGGTGGCTAGTTTTTCTAACACAATCTGTCCTCCATCTTTCAGCAGATCTGATGTTACCTGATCCTCACCAGTAGCTTTGCCTCTTTGCAAGCTCTCCAAAGCTATTCTGACTTCCTCTATCATTACTGGTGGGGTGTCGTCTGGGTTACTACTAGTTCTTATAGTATTAAGGTCGTGGTTATCCCGGCTACTGTACAGATCTCTGTAAAACTCCTCCGCTATTTTAACTATCCTATCCATATTGTTAGTTATTTTGCCTTCTTTGTCCCTTAGTGCATACATTCGATTTTTGCCTATCCCAAGTTTCCTCTTCACTGCTTTGACGCTTTCTCCGTTTTTCAGAGCGTGTTCAATTCTCTCCATGTTATACCTTCTTACATCGCATACCTTACGCCGATTAATCAACTTCAAAAGCTCTGCCAGTTCTATTTTATCTGTTGTACTTGAGACTTTCATGATTTGACACTTCTTAATGATATTCTTCTTTTCCTGGGAAAGCTTGCCAGTGTCTTGTCTAACTACCCTGCTTCCAACTTGCACTGCGCACTCCGTAAGGATACTCATCAGATTATCATTCATTGTATCTATGCTAAAGTTGGTTTCCTCACTAAGAGATGAGTACCTGTTCTGAAGCGAGACTCTGAATTTCTGTACTTTCCCTCTCAGTGCTAGCTCATTGACTGGCTTCTTGCGTATCAGTTTCTGTCGTTCCTTTTTTAAGTCTAGGTGAATTCGACACCACATCATTCTATGGTCACTTCATTGTACCTTGCCAACCACTTCCACATCCTGCACGATGCCTGGGTGTGCACTGATTATAAAGTCTATTTCGTTCTTATTTTTGCCATTAGGGCTCCTCCATGTCCACTTACGGTTTTCTCGTTTTCGGTAGAAGGTATTCAAAATCCGTAAATTATTACGTTCTGCTAATTCTATTAGTAGCTCTCCTCTGGCGTTTCTAGTACCGATGCCATAATCTCCTACTGTCTGGTCTCCAGCCTGCTTCTTCCCTACCTTTACATTAAAGTCTCCCATCAGTATAGTATACTGTGTTTTTACCTTACTCATTGCCGATTCCACGTCTTCATAGAAGCTTTTAACTGAAGCGTCATCATGGCTTGATGTAGGCACATAAGCCTGTATCACCTTCATCTTGTATTTCGTATTCAGTTTAATTACAATACTTACCACCCTTTCATTAATGCTCTAGTGTTCCTCTATGTTGCCAGCTATGTTCCTGTGAATTAGGAACCCCACTCCCAGTTCTCTTTTGTCAGCCAAGCCCCGATAGCAAAGGACGTGCCCATCCTGTAGCACTGTATAGGCCTCATCTGTCCTCCTAACCTCACTGAGCCCTATTATATCCCACTTAACACCCTCTAACTCCTCGAATAGTACAGCTAGTTTTCCCTCACTAGATAAGGTTCTAGCGTTAAACGTTGGCAAGTTCAGGTTCCAATGGCAGCCTGTCCAGATCCAGAGATTCTTAGCACCCTCTGCTGCGTTGCAGATATGACTGTGGCCGTGGTCAGTTGCTTCGCAGCTGCTGGGGACTGAGGGCCGTGAGCTATTTGACGTATGCATGTGGGAAGTAGTGGCCAGATACTGCACTAGGGTGGCCAATCCTTCTCTGGTGAGTGAGTGCGTTACCCGCGGTGGTTACCGGTGAGGTCGCACCCCAGGCCTCTTAATGCAGTTCCATCACCACGCGAATTTTTTTTAATCCGGTTGGGAACTACGCGGCACCGGGATTTGAACAACAAGCCTTTTGCATGCGAGGCGGATACTCTAACCACTACATCATCGCCGCACCTAAGCAGGTTATTTCCGAATAAATAAATAAATTATGCATGGCAAATTGATAGGTGTACCTATTGCTTGAGCTTTGACAGATAAGTTTCTGTGCCTGTTTTCTTTACTGTTGTGTGCTTTTTAAGTTCTTAGTTGGTTTTTCTAATCTCTCGATTTTCAAGCCCTGTTTTTTAGAATGAGGTGGCAATGTAGTGAGTGCACATTTCTTGAGAAATTCACGATTTATAGTGATCATTTCTGTGTTTGGGGTCAGTCTTTTACGGGCCAGTCTGTCATTTAGAATATTTAGCCACCTTGTCTTTTAGAAGCCAAATAGTGGCAGTAGTTCATCAGTTGGTTTAAAGTACCACACTGCTGATAATAAAGCAATATTCAGTAGCAAATTAAAAGGATGAATATAATCGACTGAGAAGAACAAGGAACTGGTTATCGCCTTCTAGTTGTCTTCAGGGACGCCATAAGAAAACATCTTGTCACTTTTTAGCGTCAAGGCATTCTGGCATGCCGAGGCATTTATCTGTCACTGCTGCCACTTTTCAAAGTGAAACATTTTAATAAGATGATTTCTGGCAAAAAGCGTGTACATTGATGACCAAATATTCGTTTTTAAAAGGTTGTTTAATCAGGTACAATTTCATCAATTAATTGGTGTTTTTTTTTTTTACGTGAGTTTAATACAGAGCTTTAGACATCACTACACAACATCCGATTTTATGACTCCTGAATTCTTGCATATTTGAGGGAAATGATGGGTGCTCTAGAGGTGTTTTGCCCATGAGCTTTTCAGCGAATAGAGATGTTTATCTGGTTTTTAATAAGAACCTAATAATAATATAATGAGATGTCCTAATGTAAATTCATCTTACTCTTTCAATGCTTTTCAGAATGTAAAATTAGCTGCATCAGGGCTTTTAATTTTTGTTAATTGTACAAGGTTGACATTTATGTGTGCTTTTAAGATGTTTTTTTTTGTGCCATCATTTGGCTTCTGCTGCTGCACAGGTAGCTCGGCCCATTTGATTGCACCCAGGACAATTCTAGTTTTCTTTTAAATAAATCAATAAAAGACAGCATTAGTGCATGAGATTTTAGGCCTTTCTAATTCGCATGATTCCTGGCACTTCTTGTGCCACTACATGACGAGTTGATGAGTTGAGCAAGTGCATTTTGCGGAATGGATCATGCAGGGGTGCCGAGCCCCGACTGGTGTGTTTCCACAAGGAGAGTGGCAGTAATGTGGGCCTGCGGCTCACTGGTGGCAACCAGGCAGGTGTCTTTGTCACTGCTGTGCAGCCAGGTAGCCCTGCTTCTCTGCAGGGCCTACAGCCGGGTGACCGTCTCCTTAAGGCAAGCACTTTGATCATCATCTGTCAGCATGAATGAGTGCTGTAAAAAGTGTGCTGCCATATAAACTATATCAAAACATGCTCTCTCAACGACTTTTGCTAACTATTTGAGTGTTGTCTTTGCTCACACTCTGCCTTTGCATATCTATCTAATGTGTGTTTGAGCAGCTTGGCTATCTTCTGAGCACACCTTGGCTATCTACTGAGCACAATTTCTTCGGTCCCTCTTTGTCCATGTGTCTTTGTTTATGACAAATCTCAAAGTTCTGCTAATCAAGAATCCTGGCTTTCTTGTAGCTGTCGCATGGCTTCCTGGTATGCATAACCGTCCTGGGGACTCTAGCAGTGCTTTAATGTAGTGGCTTGAGCTAGCTTACGTGCACTGTCTTGTGGTCATAATAGTGCTGGTGATGTAGGGAGTGATTCAACATCATAATTTAGAGGCAATGCCATGTTGATGGTTTAGTCCAGGAGGCTACATTAAGCAAGAGCTCTAGTGGAGAGCTTGCTTGTATTAGTGCAGTACATAGGAAAAAAGCACAACACAGACGTAAAGAGAAAAGGAAGCGCTAACCTTTCTTTTTATGTCTGCGTCGTGTTTCTGTCTTATGTACCACACTAACACAAGCTAAGTTAATGAATTACCAACTCGTCCGAGCTGCAACACGTGAAAAAGAAGTGAAATATTATTGAGAGCGATACTAGTGACAGATGTTGGTGTAGATTGATAACTTTTGTCATGGCATCACTTTTTGTGCACCTGATTCTTACTAATCAAGAGGACAAAGCTGACAGCAGTCTTAGTTTGATAAGCGATTGCTTAAATTGCAATGCACCTATGTGCCAGTGCACCCTGTGCATGGTCAATAGGGCAGCTACTACTAGGAGAAGAGACAGCAGTCGCTAGCATCACAGTACTGCATGCAAACGTAATGAGCGGCAGAACAATGTCTAAGTTGATGAGGTTTGAGGAGGTTGCCAACATGTTGCCAATCGTGTGATTCAAATGCTCGGTGTTAATGAGAAATAACAGACAACAATGCCAGGGACAATAGAAAGATGATCGTAACCGTAGCTCTGTGGTAGAGCATCAGACACATTATTCCAAGGTTGCAGGTTTGGATCCTGCAGGTGGCAACTTATCTTTCCCTCAACACTGCTTTCTTCACATTTACATTACAATTATATAATGCCCCCTCCTTACTCAATGCCCAACAAGGCCAATAAGGTTTCTTCCAAATAAATAAATATACCCCTGTCACACAGTCACCCGCGAGCACTGTTTAAATTCCTCGTTTTTACGAAACCAAAGATGCAGTTCATGTCACATGGTCTCCTTTACATCAAGGAAGTCAAACGAAGCTTTTCGCCAAGAAAGTTCAGCGATCTTCCTTACTGGTTGAAGAGAGTACTCTCATTCTCAGTGATCTGTACTGACAGAAAAAACTGACAACTCACTAATAAACTTTATTGCTATTAAAAATTCACTGCTAACTCACTTGTAACATGCATTTAACAAAAAAGATTGATAATTGATAGATATCTGGGGCTTAACATCCAAAAACCACCACTTGATTATGAGAGACGCGTAGTGGAGGACTCCGGAAATTTTGACGATCTGGGGTTCTTTAACGTGCACTCAAATCTGAGCACACGGGCCTACAGCATTTTCGCCTCCACCGGAAATGCAGCCGCCGCAGCCAAGATTCGATCCCATGACCTGTAGGTCAGCATCGTGGCAAGGCGATTAAGGAGAAGGAAATACGTGTACAACTCCAACCTATGCCTCTCCACAAGCCAACGTGTTGCCATTTTGAAAATGTTTTCAGAGTTTTTGCAAGCCACCCTATCTGTGTGCGCTGCGGTGTTTACATCTGCGCAACTTGTTCGCTTCTTATTGTTGTGCTCCTTATTATACTTCAACACTGACAAAATTTATAGCAGTGATTGATGCTGGTTTTCTTCCTTCTTTATCGACGCCGGTAATTAAGCCGGCACTACATGCGAACTGCTGTGTGCCTCATTCACAGAAAGGTCTTTGTGTACTGAATGCGAGACCTATGCTCATCCGATGTTGCCAAGAACATTGTGATCTATGTGTTGGTACAACTTCAAAGAGGTTGGCAACAACTTGCAGTGTGTTTGACAATCGGCATACTTAAAGAATAATGCCAGGCCTGCGCGCAAAGCGCAGCACAGTCACAGCAAAATCTAGGAGAGCGGCCTTTTAGAGCCTTTTCAAAACACTCATTCGGTAAATACTGCAAGCACACCTGCTTGATACCCACTAGGGCATTAATTATCAATTTTTGGTGGTAGTTGGCCGACATTCGCTAGGCTATTTTTTGTCATTCTTCTGAGAAGCGTGGTATCCGCTAAACACTTGCAAGTAATTTCGTGCCAATTGATCAGCAGAGGCTGACAACAATGAGAAATTATGGCTGAAGTGGGTATGCGCCACAGTTAATAGGGGAACAAGAACAAGCTTTTGTAATGAGTTGGAGTATTGGACGGCCCACTCGTTACGCTATTCTCATTGTGCGACGACTGGTTGTTTTTTCGCTGTTTTAAAAAAGCTTTATAGGTCATATTAACGCGATTGCTTTCCCAACATCGAGCCTGCCTAAAGCAAGTTTGTCAACAAGTCACAAGCACCAGCATAGCTCAGTGGTAGAATAATAGGCTGGCACCCAGCGGACCCGGATTCGAGCCCCACTGGCTCGAATCCGGGTCCGCTGCTAGTTTGCATTGGTGCTAGTTTTTTTTCTCTAATTTCGCGCAATGTAGTTACACCGGTGGTGGCCGCGGCAGCGGCGACGGTTGACAACTGCGCGTGACCCTAATTGTTATCTCGTAACAGCTTTCGCTGTGAAATGCGTACCAAAACTAATGTGCAGTGTTGCCAGCATTCTTGTCAACATTCCTTCCAACTAGCTTGCAGGTGTACGCATCTGTGATAAAAGCCAAAACACTCTTTTTTGTTTAGGTGAAAATAAATAGTTGTTTTATGATGACACATACAATTTAAACAGCAGAAAGACCTCACAATTTAGGCCTTTCTGCAGAACATCACGCCACCTTCGACTTCTGGATCACCTGGCGGCGGCGACAGGGCTCTGCAGCTGTGATGGTCTTATACTGAGACCAAGCGTGTGTTGTGCTTTGGGTGGTTGCAATGCCAAGGTGTGCCTACCGTAAGACCAGCTGTGTTATGTGCGTTTCTTGAATTAGTTTGACGCCTAAGGAGACCTACAATAGTTTTACGAGTGAAGTGCACATTTGCGAAAAATGCGTCATTGTGATGATGGAGCACATTTGAAAATGTGGAGGATGACGGCAGGTACTACAGATGCGAGTTCCGTTTGTGGTAATTGGAGAAGAAGAAGATGCGGGAATATTGCTCGAGTGCACATGAAAGACAGTCTCAGTTGATGACCATCCTCCATGGGGTTTCCGTAGCGAGAAACCTGGTTGCGAGATGGTGGATTGTGAGGCGTGGTCGAGACTTGGCTGTGTGAAGATGTGTAGGGCGCGAGAGTGGTGACCAGCAGATCGCTAATGCAACGACCACTGCAGGCTCCCTCCTAGGCGTGTACCCGACCTTCTTCCGTGCCTCTGGTGTAGGCCGGACCCACGTATCTTGTTGCTTGGCATTGGCCAGGCAACACCGTCTTTCAGGTCATCTGGTCCTCGACTGGAAAACGCTGGCAGGGCATCTGGTTATTAACTCGACTTGCCATTAATGTCCATCTGATGCTTCGCTGAGGGTTGAGTGTTGCCACCACCTCACCTGCCTATGATGCCTGCACATGCTATTCGCTAACTTTTACCACGTCGTTCGTCATGAATAGTCACACTTTCATTTAACTGTTGCACGTTAGCTTCATTTTGTTAAGTAGGTACCCATTCGTGTAGTTTTAGTTGTGTGTTGGTAGTGTTGTACTTAGTACAGGTCTATCTGGTACAGTTAAACCTAAAAATAATGAAATCGACAAAAAATTGCCAAAAATATTTGTTACAAAGAGCATTTTGTTATATGCAAATTCAGTAGGAAACTTGAAAAACAAAGAGAGAACTGAATGCAGAGCTAACCCTGAACACCTATTTATCAGTAAAAAACTGCGTTATTATTGCGATAGCAATTATATGGACACTTTCGGCGGGTTTTCGTCGTTGCCGCCATTTCCCTTAACAAGTCCAGACTGATATCATGGCCCCGCGCATCGTAAAACGCGCGAGTGCTGCTAAAGCGGAGATCGAATGAGCCGTCTCATCTCTATTGCCTGGAGGGTGCATACAGTAGCATATTCCCACGTATTACATTTAGAACTGCTGTCAAATGCTCAATCAGAAAGGAAACCATCTTTATTGAACGAGCTTTGAAAAAAAAAAAAAAGTAGGGGGGGGGGGGGGTCGCTTAAGTACCAACGGTAAACTTGATTTAATTTTAAGGGCGTGGTCGCAATTACTGCTGCACATGCTATTTCTGCAAGCATCAGTGCGCTTTCAATGCGAAAAGACTGTGTGAAAAGAGCCCTTCTACCTGGAGCTGCCATATTTCCTTACTCCGCGGTTTTGTAAGAGTTCCGCACGTTATCTCATCCAATAGAGTTGGCTGCCAGCTTTACGTCGTACAACATTTCAATATGTTGCCATCACATTTATTGCATTTTATTCAACGCACCATCATGTTGTTGCCACAGCTAATCGGCTAGTCGCGAAGGCTACGGTCCCTCGAAATCATGGCACAAACGGAAACGTGTAACTTCCGAAGATCAGTCGTTGTCACCGTGGTCACTGAGAGTTTCCATCAGCACCTAATCCGACATCCCATCAGTAGTGACGACACGGTTGTCTGCATTTTGAATGAAAAAAAGTATACCGGAACGTCGTCGTGGGCAATACCATGCATGTGCAGTGAAACTGCTAGCTTATCTTGGCTTAGAAATTGCTTATCATTTCGCCAACAATTCACCATGATTAATAATGGTGTTTCTCCCC